TCATAACAACTAGGAGTGGACTACAATGAGACATTTGCTCCAGTCGCACGCCTAGACACAATAAGAGCTCTAATAGCTCTTACAACACAAAAAGGATGGAACATCTACCAACTAGATGTCAATAAGAGCTCTAATAGCTTTTACATGCCTTAAAGCTTCTACATCAGAAAGGTATGATGAGAGATCTACCCAACCTAAAGGAAAATAATGAAGCTTGTGAAGGATGCCTTCTTGGAAAGCAACATAGATTACCATTCTCAAGCAGTAATGCATGGAGAGCCAAAGACTTGTTGGAGCTAATTCATACAGATGTTTGTGGACCGATGAGGACACCATCACACACCAACAACAAGTATTTTATCCTCTTCATTGATGACTTTTCTAGAATGACATGGGTCTATTTTCTGAAGACAAAGTCAGAAGTCTTTGGAATATTTAAGAAATTCAAGGTCCTTGTTGAAAAGTAAAGTGGAAAATAAATAAAAGTACTTAGAAGTGATCGTGGCAAAGAGTATACATCTCGCGAGTTTGACAACTTTTTTCGAAGATGAAGGCATAGAGCGACAACTTACAGTCGCATATACTCCGCAAAAAAATGGTGTGTGAGAGAGAAAGAATAGCACAGTCATAGAGATAGCGAGATCGATGTTGAATGAGAAAGGACTGCCAAATACATTATGGGCTGAAGTAGTTTACACTACAGCCTACCTATTCAACAGATGTCCTACTAAGGCAGTTCAGGATAAGACTCTAATAGAAGCTTGGAGTGGGAAGAAGCCATCAGCTAAGCACCTAAGGGTCTTTGGATCTATCAGCTACATTCATGTGCCAGATGAAAAAAAGGCATAAGTTAGAAGACAAGACCGTACGAGGCATATTCTTGGGATACAGTTCACAATCAAAAGGCTATTGAGTCTACAATCTTCAGACAAAAAAGCTAACAATCAGTAGAGATATTGAAGTAGATGAAAATGCTACTTGGAAGTGGGAAGAAGAGCAAATTGAGAAGAAGACTATATACATGCCCATCAATCAACAAACTACATCAAGTCTGGAAGACAACAATCAAGACATTGTTATCTCTCCAGAATCTCCAAGAATAGTTCCACAACAAGAAGAATCATCACTTGAGTCTATTCCGAGACGAGTTAGATCACTGATAGATATATATGAAACCTACAACTTGGCCATACTTGAACTAGGAAGCTTTGAAGAGGCAGAAAACCAAGAAGTATGGGTCAAGGCTATGGAAGAAGAGATTAAAATGATTGAGAAGAATAATACATGGGAGCTCGTAGGCTGCCCTTATAGAAAAAGATATCATTGGAGTAAAATAGGTATATAAAACAAAGCTTAATCTTGATTGAACTATACAAAAACACAAAGCAAGATTGGTCGCTAAGGGCTACTCACAACAACCAGGAGTGGACTACAACGAGACATTTGCTCCAGTCGCACGCCTAGACACAATAAGAGCTCTAATAGCTCTTACAACACAAAAAGGATGGAACATTTACCAACTAGATGTCAATAAGAGCTCTAATAGCTCTTACATGCCTTAAAGCTTCTACATCAGAAACGTATGATGAGAGATCTACCCAACCTAAAGGAAAATAATGAAGCTTGTGAAGGATGCCTTCTTGGCAAGCAACATAGATTACCATTCTCAAGCAGTAATGCATGGAGAGCCAAAGACTTGTTGGAGCTAATTCATACAGATGTTTGTGGATTGATGAGGACACCATCACACACCAACAACAAGTATTTCATCCTCTTCATTGATGACTTTTCTAGAATGACATGAGTCTATTTTTTGAAGACAAAGTCAGAAGTCTTTGGAATATTTAAGAAATTTAAGTTCCTTGCTGAAAAGCAAAGTGGAAAACAAATAAAAGTACTTAGAAGTGATCGTGGAAAACAGTATACATCTTGCGAATTTGACAAATTTTGCGAAGATGAAGGCATAGAGCGACAACTTACAGTTGCATATACTCCGCACAAAATGGTGTGTGAGAGAGAAAGAATCGCACAGTCATAGAGATGGCGAGATCGATGTTGAAGGAGAAAGGACTTCCAAATACATTCTGGGCTGAAGTAGTTTACACTGCAGTCTACCTACTCAACAGATGTCCTACTAAGGCAGTTCAGGAGAAGACTCTAATAGAAGCTTGGAGTGGGAAGAAGCCATCAGCTAAGCACCTAAGGGTCTTGGGATCTATTTGCTATATTCATGTGCCAGATGAAAAAAGGCATAAGTTAGAAGACAAGACCGTACGAGACATATTCTTGGGATACAGTTCACAATCAAAAGGCTACCGAGTCTACAATCTTTAGACAAAGAAGCTAAGAATCAGTAGAGATGTTAAAGTAGATGAAAATGCTACTTAGAAATGGGAAGAAGAGCAAATTGAGAAGAATACTATATACATGCCCGTTAATCAACCAACTACATCAAGTCTGGAAGACAACAATCAAGACATTGTTATCTCTCCAGAATCTCCAAGAATAGTTCCACAACAAGTAGAATCATCACTTGAGTCTACTCCGAGACGAGTTAGATCACTGGTAGATATACATGAAACTTGCAACTTGGCCATACTTGAACCAGGAAGCTTTGAAGAGGCAGAAAACCAAGAAGTATGGGTCAAGGCTATGAAGAAGAGATTAAAATGATTGAGAAGAATAATACATAGGAGCTCGTAGACTGCCCTTATTGAAAAAGATATCATTAGAGTAAAATGGGTATATAAAACAAAGCTTAATCTTGATGGAACTATACAAAGCCACAAAGCAAGGTTTGTCGCTAAGGGCTACTCACAACAACCAAGAGTGGACTACAATGAGGCATTTGCTCCAGTAGCACGCCTAGACACAATAAGAGCTCTAATAGCTCTTACAGCACAAAAAGGATGGATCATCTACCAACTAGATGTTAAGTCTACATTCCTCAATGGTGTACTTGAAGAAGAGATCTATGTAGAGCAACCACCAGGATTTGTGATGAAAGGCCATGAAGGCAAAGTGTTGAGATTGAAGAAAGCTTTATATGGCTTGAAGCAAGCTCCACGAGCATGGTATAGCAAGATCGACCAGTACTTCACTAATCATAGATTCAGGAAGAGTAAGAGTGAGCCTATATTATACATCAAGACTCAAGGTCAGCATACTCTCTTACTCTCTCTATATGTAGATGATTTTATTTATACTGGAACCAATACAAAGATGATGATGGAGTTTAAAGAAGACATGATGAAGACCTTTGAGATGACTAATCTTGGCTTGATGAGTTACTTCCTCGGTATAGAGTACACCGCTAGTGACGAATGAGAAACTACAAAAGGAGGATGGAGCACCAGAAGCTGATGCATCCCGATACAGGAGTCTAGTCAGAAGTTTTCTATATCTCACAGCCACAAGACCAGGCATTATGTATGTCACAAGTCTTTTATCAAGATTCATGCAAAAGCCATGTCAAATTCACTATGGAACAAGAAAAAGAATATTGAGATATCTACAAGGCACAAGGGAGTTTGGTATATGGTATAAAACTATGACCAAATCAAGGATGATTGGCTATACCGACAGTGATTGGACAGGATTAATAGATGACATGAAGAGTATATTAGGATATGCCTTCTCACTAGGATCTGGATTTTTCTCTTGGGCGTCAAAGAAGCAAGCAACAATTGCACAATCAACAGCAGAAGTAGAGTATATAGCAGTTGTTAACACTACAAGTCAAGCAATATGGCTACGGAGAATACTTGAAGAAATGAGTGAACAACAAGATGGACCGACTATTATATACTGTGACAACAAATCAGCAATAATAGTAATGGCAAAGAATCTAGTTCATCATCAAAGAACGAAACACATCACTTCATTAGAGAAGCAGAGACAACTAAGCAAATTCAACTTGAATATTGCTCAACAGAAGATCAAGTTGCAGACATATTTACAAAGGCACTACCAAGAACAAAGTTTGAACAACTAAGAACTATGCTTGGAGTTATCGAAATTTGCATCAAGGAGGAGTGTTAAATTATGATGCGAATTCTAGAAAAGAAAAAGAAAATTCTAGAAGCATAAGATAAGATGTATAAAGAAAAATAAAATTCTAGAAACATAAGATAAGATGTACAAGTTTATAGAAAAAATTAAAAGAGTGTAGAGACTTGAAGAGTTTAGAAAATTCTAGATATTTTCACGATCATCTAGAGATGGAGGACCATGCCTATAAATAGGCAAATTAGGACTTCATTGTAACAATAATAATTACTACCACTATTACGTACTACTCTCTAAATACAAATAAGTTTCTATTATTCCATCAACTATTCCCTTGACAACTATCATATACTACCAGTAAGCATATTTTTTCTTCCCTTGAAAGCAACTCGAGACTCAAAGATGTCTAACATAGATCCCTCTTTAGAGATTTTCTTGGTTATGGCCTTCGGGTTAACGCTAAGTGACATGTCAGGTCGTCTTCATTTATTTTTAAATTTTTTTTCGTCACCGGTATCCTCAAACTACTAGTTAGGAGACTAATCTGACTTGCATTACAATAACTATTGCTGGTTTAACGAATTTTTGCACGGATCAAACACGGGTTTCCACAGTGGTTTTTATTTATTTATATCTGGTTGGACCGCAAATAAAATAAGAGTCCTTGTCCAACACTTCCTCTATTTGACGTTACTAGTGGCTGGTTCATAATGCAAACAAGTAATAATAGCCAACAATATTGGACAAGTGATATGAATAATTGGTGCAATATGGGGCTTAGAAAATGAGATTATAACAGATCATCATCATAACGTACTCTATATGCAATTTTCACTACCTCCACTACAGAGATGCTTTTCGTAAGTGTTGAGAAAAACAATAGAACAGAAAACCCATCTACCACCAAGTTTGACTAAAACATGGCCGATTGGCCTTGAACCACAAACTAGTTAGTTGGTGCATTCTTATTTAATCGGCCAAATCCTTTGTTACAAAATATTTAGAGGAAAATGAAGAACGTAGGCATGGTTTTGTTCATTTTTCTTTTACTGGAGGCAATGTGCAGTGAAGGGTGTTGGAAGGAAGAGAGAGAAGCTCTTTGGGACCTAAATTCCCATTTTGGCTTCCCTTTGTCTTTGAAGTGGTATGGCACAGATTGTTGTCAGTGGGAAGGAGTTGAGTGCAACTCCTCCACAAGGAGAGTGGCCAAACTCAATCTTTATGAAGACACGTGGAAAAATGTTAATCGGTATCTAAACTACACGGATTTTATTGTCTTCAAAGATTTGAAGAGTCTCAACTTGTCACATAATGGGATAATTGGTTGTGCAGGCAATAATGAAGGTTATTCTCCATTGTACAAAAATTTTATGTCATGATCATTGAATACTTAGTGAAAATGAATCTGTTACATATATGGCATGATCATTATTTCCACTTTAATTAATTACACATATACTTTGCAGGTTTGGAAAATTTGGAAGTCCTTGACTTGAGTGATAATCATATAGATAATGCTGCCAGCATTCTTTCTTGTTTGGATGAACTTTCATCTCTAAAATCTCTATATTTAACATATAACAGGTTCAATGTATCTTCAATCCACGGTGAGGCTATATAGCTAGATATGTTTGTCATATTTTATTTTGAACAACATGCAACAATAATATTAATATTTATGATGATGTGAGCTCTTTCAATTTTTGCTTCCATTTTTCGCAACCTTGCACTAATACATGATTATGCCTATAAGTTTTGGAATCTCTGTCATCAAAGTTGCGTTATCTGGAGGTCCTGGACATAAGTGGTAATTATTTGACTAATGACATCCTGCCATCTCTTGAGGGATTCACATCATTGAAGGAACTGTATTTGGCTGCAAGTCATTTGGACTCAGATGTTCATGTTCAAGGTAGGATAATTTTTCCATATCATTATTAATATAGCTAACAGATGCTAAATATAACTGAAATGTAACACTATACCTTGCAGGTTTATGCTCAAGATTGAGGAATCTTGAGGTCCTTGACTTGTCCCACAACAACTTCAATGACAGTGATATTGCATCTGCTCTTAGTGGGGTTTCGTCCCTAAAGTCCTTAAATTTAGGACATAGTCAATTGACTCCGAGATCAGTTTTTAGTATGCCATTTTTCCATATTAGAAATCTTCGATATATTGCTTTTGGTCGAAAAATATATATTAGTATATTTTTAATCGGTATGTATATTGATAGATATGTCAAAACTGAGATCTCTGGAGATCCTGAACTTAGCTGGAAACGATTTGAATGAGAGTATCCTGGGGTCTCTAGGTTGGTTTTCATTACTCCCTTTGATCTTTTTTTTTTCCTGAAACCAAATTAATTAGCAATTTTTCGTGATATTTTCATAAGATTCAATATATTCATGTATTTTGTTTTACAGAAATATTTTAATTATCATTTATCTAAGTTCATTAAATATAATGTGAAATACATGAATCTCCTTGCCAGTTATGTGAGAGACTAACTTGGTCTTATATGTACAAGTATTTCGGTAACTTTACTCTGTCTCTTCATAGTCAATGAAAATTAGAGTAATTGATAAATGTATTATATGATGACAGATTAAAATAATTAAAGATAATAAGAATATTTAATTTTAAAAAAGAACATGAGTGTATTTCATTAATTTTATTAGGAGTAATTTTGAAAAGAACACATAAATTTAAGAAAAATTTAATATTAACTAAATTAATTAAATTATCATTTTGATTCTTATAAATTATTTAATTGAATCTTATAATAAGAGGGATGAAAGTACTTGATAATTTATTATAATGGAGACATAGTTCCATAGAACATGTGTGTTCCTTATTTTAGTGAATACTGACGATTGTATGCCTTCAATTTTATTTTATTTTTATCAGAAAGCGAAGGATTTACGTGGGCAACCAATTTACAAGTCCTGGGGCTGAGTTCAAACTGTTTCAGCAACCAGTTTCTTTCATCCCTAAGTGGGTTTGGACGTCTCAAACATCTTGATTTAAGTCACAATCAATTACAAGGATCATTAGATATAAGTGGTAAATTCTGTTAAAGATTATGTTAGAATATCTGATATATATTTTGAATTTTTTTTATATAATAATTTGGAATCTTGTTAAGTTGATATCTTCTAAGGCAATGACTTTTGATCATAATCATATTTTATGGTGATTGGACTTAGCAACATCGATCATTAATCCTGCATATAATTTTCATTTTTTTTTAATTTTATTTTAGGTCTTCTAAGTGATTTCTCATTGCAAATAGATGTGGTATGATCTTTTCTCCCATTTTAAAAGCATGTTAGTAAGGGGCAATTAGATTTCTTAGGCGTAGAAAGAATTTATTTTATTCATATACTTTATTATCGAGGTTATATTCTAACCCAATCTTTTTAAACATGCATATTTGTTTTTCTAATAAGACATCTAAATTATCCTTTTCCATAAAGACTTAAATCAAGTCATTTTTTACACCTAAACCAAGTCATTTATTATAATAGTATTTCCTTTTTATATGTAATACACCTAGAACAACTAAGAAAATAAAATGTTTATATTTTGGCAAGATTCACGCAAGGAGCAATATACCACCAAACATAGCTCTAATGTCACTCGTAGTATTTATGATAGAAATTGATAAAGATTGTTTTAAGAAATAGTTGAATAGAAAAGGAAGAATGGGTAGCATAAGCAATGTTAAGGGAATAATATATTGCATTGTTTTCCATTGATCTTACAAAAGCAAGCCATGCATGCCTATTTATCGGCACACTTCACTAACTTTAATGATGTCATTTTTTCTAAAGTATTAAAATATTTTCCAACAATTTACAACATTTTGATATTTGTTCTAGAGTAAATCATGAAAATATAATCTTCTAATTTCTGTATTTCTTATCTATTTTTTGTTATTGTCATGCTTAGCAATTTCTACCAAGTTTCATTTTAGTAATTAAATATTTGTGTCTTTGATCTCTCCAATAGGCTCGTGTCTTGCATACAAGCTTGGGAATTAAATCCTTATTTTTTTATATTATATTAAACTAAAATTAAAATTAATTTGAAATTATTCTCTAATTTATTTTTTCTTCATCTAAATTCCTAGGATTTCAAGTTCTTAACTCAATTTTAGTACCTGACAACCATTTTTATGTTGTGGTAAATATATATATATATATTTTTTTTTTTTTAATGTAATTGCCCACAAGGGGATAAAAAACTTTTAAATAATTTAAAAATGAGTTCTGTTCATTAAATTTTTAAAA